ATATCATAATGTGTCGGAGCTGGTCACAATAATAATATTATAATATTTTTCAAAATATAACAATATTATATTATAATATTTTAGTTCAATTGTTGTAAACATCTATAATATAAAGTAATATAAATAAATAATATAATAATTATAATAAATATTATGAAAAAATTAATAAATTAGAAGTAAATACATATAATAATAATAATAATAATAATAATAATAATAATAATAATAATAATAATAAGAATAATTATATATTATGATGAGAAACTCAATAAAAATTTTGAAAAGTAATAATAATGATTTAATTTTGAGATCTTACGACTACTCATATTATCGTTTATATAAACATTATGTTACGTCACAATAATAATTATGATTATTATTATATACCTACAACGAATAGCACGTGTATCAGTCTTTTTGAAAATGATATTTAAGTAAGTAAATATTAGATTTAGTTTAAAAACGTATAGGTAATAATAATAATAAAAATAAAAATAATAATAATAACAGTAATAATAATAATAATAATAATAATAATAATAAAATATGGCCGATACATATTATTATGCATGTCCGTAGTCCATAAGCTGCTGCAGTGAGATTACACATAAAATGCCATATAAACTGTCAAAGCTCAAAATAATATTAGAAGTGTGACGTTCGCGAACGAACGGATCACATTAAATGGGTCAAAGTAGTTTACGAGATTGATCCGGATAGCCAAATAAAAGATCCAGATCACTAAATACCTGATTTTTTAATTTTCATTGTGGTTCACATTGAACGACTGAACCATGGTCACTACAGTATAGTAGTAAACGTATAAATCGCGAACCGTTTGGTAAGTGGGAACCATAAGATACAAAATAATTTATCAGATCGCAAACGGGTCTTTGAACCATGTCTTCGCCGAAACATAAAACGGTTATATTAATATTTTAAATTCAGATCTTAAAAAATAATATTTGTATCGAAAATACAAAAACTATTGACAATAACAATAGGTAATCAACGATTAGATAGATGGTCAAAATAAATTTTTTTATTATTTCCATAATTTCAGTTTAGTACAGTTTTGCAATTTAGTATGCAGTGACAATTTAAGAAAACTAGTGTAATCCCTGCAAAAACGACAACGAAATCGAGTCGTTTTAACATGAGCTATAGTGGGATGGAGTCATGAGACGTACTTCAAGCAACGTACGTCACAGTTAAGTATTAACAAAATAAAATGTCGGCAAAGTGGGATGTCGGCAAATGGGTTGTCGACAAAATGGGAGTCGGCGACGTGGGAATGAACCCTTTGAACCGGATCTTCTTGTTGACCTGATCCGAATCAAATCACTTAAATGACCCATAATTCCCACATCTAGATAATATTATAATATTAAATATATTATTCATTAAAAATTAGAAGTTTTCCAATTTACAAAAAAAAATGATTATTACGTCTAATTCGGAAAATAGTCTGTTAATATTATTAACAATACCTATACAACAGCTAATAATTATATTAATATAATCATAAGTAAGTGATGAGCATGATATTATATAATAATATAGGTACTATAATAATTAATAATATAATCATTAATTTCTCGACGTCGAATCGAAATCACTTAGTATAATATTAGTTTAGTATGTAATATAATAATTAACAGCAATTTCGTTAATGTAATACAAAAGCAGACTACCGAATGTAGTAGATATTGTTTTAAGTACTTGTTATTATAATTTATAATATATAGGTACCTATAGTTAGGTACCTATAGTTGCAGGCTGATATGACCTAAACCAAAGTATACCGCCGTTCGAGAATCGCGAGTAAATTTTATAATCAACAATATCATAATAATGTAATGATATTTATAACATTAATATTTTACTACGCATAGACTAATAATATTATAATAATTATGTAGGTGTAATGACAATAATAATAATAATAATTATTATTATTTTTTTTTTTATTATTATTATTATTTTTTTTTTTTTAATTATTATTATTATGATTATGATTATTATGATTATTATTATTATTATTATTATTATTATTATTATTATTATTATTATTAAAGGAAACGAACGAATTTAACAATAATAAACTGTAGGTACCTACTAGTGTAGTTTTCGTAAAAAAACTATAGAGTATACGCGTATCGCTTGATTTGTAAATTTCATGCCGAGTACAGGCTATATGCACATTATTTTTTGCACGATCGTACATGTACGTATACGCACGTATTTGAATTATTTTTACATCGAATACGCCAATTCCCCAAATGTTAAAAGGATAGGTGTAAAACCCTCCAAAACACCACTGGTACCTACCATAGACCTATAGACCTAAAGAAATGTTGTACCGATAGCTACAAAAAGATAGAGAAGAGATCAGGAATTTAGATCACATACCTACGATCTAAGATCCGGAGGCCCAACAATCAACATTATTAGACAAGGATAAAACTTAACAGTTTTAAAAACGGCAACCGTGGAATAAACAATAAAAAGTTCATAACGCTCGTATTTTGACACTCTAAATATTACAACAGTTTTATTATTAACAGTAGCAAATTTTGGGCGTTGGGGAGGTTTTCAGAGTTAGGTTTAACTGACTCGGCTGAATGAACGAATCAAACTACAATGGTGTTATAGTCTTCAAAAAATAATATTGGGTAGTGTTAATATTTATAATATAGATAATGGATAATATGACACCACCACGGTTTCCACAGTGGCGCCATTGAGAAAACAATATACCTTTTATCGACTATGAACAAGTCATTGTTATATTATTATAGTTATTATATTTTCTAATTGATTTATCTTAATGATTGAATGGATGACTAGTAATTAATGATTAGTGATTATCACTTTTATTATCAGCATTTAAACATATTGCTAAATATAATATCCTTAGAAAACAACACTTAACAGTAACATAAACATACATTTTGTACTAACAATTAGCACAGAATTTTTTTTTTATTTTTATTTATGACGATTTTTCATATTATCATATTAGGGTGATAATAAAAGTGATAATCATTTATCATTAGTAACTGTTCATTTATTCGCCATTTAGATCAGTCAGTATTAGAATATACTTGCTCATACTCGATGATATTATTTTCTCATTCATTCAGTTAATTCAGTTCAGTCAGATCAGTCAATTAGACTTACCCGTTGTCAAGTGGATTTAGTTCAGTTAACCGATCGCGTCTATGAAAATAATGCAACAAAGTTTTCCTACTGTATACTATTAAATTGTGGTATAGAAGACGCGTAATCCATAATTTATTAGTACCTACCATCTTAGTCTATATATAGGTACCTGGTACACGCAAACAAAATTACAATTATAAAATTATAATATTTATTATACGATACAAAAGAAACAGTCTCTAGACAAAACTAATGTTATAAAGACGAACATATTTCGCACGCAGGTAGGCCAATGTTGTAGATGAGAAGTTGGGATAGTAGAGAGGAAATTTAATGTATACTTGTACACAACGATTAACCATTGATAACGAAAAACGATTTAGAGCAGAATTCGGTTAATAGTGTTGCTTTGTGAACAATATATATATCATATTATGGTAAAATAATTACTTATGCATTATATATATTTTTTTAATAATATTAATTATTTAATATTGTACCTATTTTCCCGTTTTGCATAAATTTTTCCTGGTTTTTCTTATTTATTGAGAAAACTCCTGAGAAAATTAAAAATTAACCTCCTTAAAGTACCATTCTAGTTAGATTTCTTTCATAAAATGTGCTATAATTAAAAATTGTGGCAAAATTGTTATTTACAGAAGAAAAAATAAACATCATTGTAAAACCAATAAATTGGCTCCACTCAGAATCTACAATATGAAGTCTTAAATTAATTACTAATTTGTAATATGTTTTTAGTTTGTCAAGCCCGAGTAATAACTCATATATTCAAAGATTTAATCCATAGAATAGGCGAGACAGCACAACTCAATTGTTGCGTCCTTGAAAATAATGATACTTTGGTAATATGGTTTAAATACAGTAATGCCAAAATGTCAGAGCCATTATTACTTTCATTTAGTACAACTTTGGTCGTCCCATTAACAAGATTCTTAATTATAAGCAGTACTCGAATTTAGGGGGGGGGGCAAAGGGGCAACTAATTTTGCAGACATTTTAGCGTACGATATATATATATTTGCATTTTGATAAAAATATATTTTCATTAAAATTTGAACTTTAAACACTTAAAAGAAAAATTTACTTCATTACGTTCAACTTTTTTTTTATCACTAATTATAGCTCATGATGAACCTTGAATTAAATTTTCGATCATTTTCACTCGGAAGTAATTTTAGTATATAAAACCAAATAAAAACTCAACAATTTGAAATAGCTATAAATAACTGTAAATCGTCAGAATTTATGAAAATTGTCTCATGTCTGAAAAGAGGTATGTAAGAGATTATATTATATATTCGTTGAAATTGTAAATCTCTGTAATTATTTTTCACTAAATTCAACAAAAAAAAAAAAAATCGAATATAATAGATACCACTATTGTGTAAATATTATTTCTTAAGGTTTTCTAGGGTTTTCACTATAATTAAAAATACAACAAGGAAAATCAAAAAATAACCACCTTATTACACCAACTACACCAACTCTTTTATTTTTCTAATTCGAGTACTGATTATATAGGTACTAGCCTCACAGTATAATCATCATTATCATTATCATCAGCATCATAATCATCATCATCATCATCATTATTGATGAACGATAAACGAACTAATAGTAATAATCGAAGTGTGTAAAATTTGATGCAGCGGAAAACAAAATTCCTAATTTAAGTGAAATATAAATTTATAATAATTGTGTAACAATTTAATAATGTAAATAAAGTATGTTCAACCGTACTGCGCAGAACTGTAGTTAGCAGTCGATTTATTTGGGCTTCCAGGAAATATCATCGATATGATGCAGATTTCTTTTCAAACTTCGGCCGTCGGCCCAGGAGGAGTTAAGATACACGTCGTCATCGTCTTGGTCAAGTTTCTGAAACAAATGTATAAAAACACATGAAATTACTTTTAAGTATAGGTAATACACGTGTGGGTACGGAATTGAGACCCGCATCACACGGGGAGATACCTAAAAGGAACTGTAATAGGAGACTAGGCTACTATTACAACTAGCAACTGCACACATTGTTTTAAACACAACAGTGTTTTATTATTAGCGTCGTTGTATGGATTATAGGGAAATCGCCTCAATAATTGATGAAATTGCTCGCGCGTCCAATTAATAAACGAGCTCCGCCGTCATGTGGTCAAATTCTCCAACCACGCGGTCATCGGTGTGCGAAAACGGCGAATGCGCGAAAACGGACGAATTTCAGGGTTGTTGTTCTCGCATGAAACGGAGTATAGACGGAATTATCGGTCTCCTAGTCACCTAGCAGCCTCCTAGTCGGACGATATTCTCGAATAAACGAATAGAAACATTTTTTATTATTATAACATCGTTGCTTCGCACACAACTAAAATAGTCGTCGAAATCGCGAGGCGACACTATGTTATCCTACGAATCGACAAATCGCATAGTTTTGCGGGACCGCGTATAAGGCGGGCGACTTCAGTCACTCCGTTGCCCTGTCTCATAGCCAGTACCTATCCAGTCAGGAACGCGGTTTTCCTTTAGAGTATCCGCCCGTGTGATTAAAGTTTAATGTATATTACGTGATTTGACTGCGTCGCCATACATTATCATTATACCGATCTGGCGTTAGAGTATATATTATAATTAATACACGAACAAAATCCGCTATTACTTATATTAAAATATGATTAGATGTCCATAAATAGATAGACAAAAAAAATACACTGTATAATACGTTACGAATTAGACACCCCTCATCACGAAGGATTTAAGTTCAAAAGCGTATAGTTGTTATTATTCTCGGATATAATATTATATATGTGTATATTGTATAATATACGTTTACTCGCGACTCTTATGCGAAACCCGTCATTTGTCTCGTTTCGCACGGCTGATGTTATTTACGTGTACACAAACATAATAATATTATATACACAAAGCACACACACACGCACACGCGCACACACACACACACACACACCGCGCACACATTTTGTGCCCGGTGCAGGTTTAATGGAATTTTCGCGGACGGAGAGCTTTGTAAACGAAAGTTTTTAGGGATATACGCGCACGAGAAGATTACGGTATCGACGTTGGTAATGATTATTACAAAACGAAAAAAAAAATAAGCGAAGGACCCGTTTGAACGATCCCGTGGCGGCTGTGCGTATAATAAAATGAGCAACTTTTCGACACGAATGGAAAACTAATAAAAAACGATTAGACGAATTGATTATCAAAAAAAAAAAAATAATAATAAAAAACTCTTTTGGAAATTGAAGAAAAAAACACACTAACCTTCAGCTCTCTTCGTCGCCGATATAATAAGACACGCCGGACCGTATTTTTATTACCCGCGCATTATCCTTTGCGCGTCATACATCGCGAAAAGCCCGTTGGTCATTGGAAAAAAAAAAAAATAATAAAAATGTGTATTATATAACATAATATATTCCAACGAATAAAGTAATAATACGCACAGTACGTTTTGAGAAATCGATAGACGTCGTAAAAATATAATGTATGGGCACGTCGTATTGTAACGCCTGGCTCGCGGTACTCGATATACGAGAAAACTCAAAAATATTAAAATAATATATTGTGCATAACATAATTGCTATAAATTATCTATTTACGATATTATTACAATATTATGTTCGCAGCGAACGCGTTTGTATTGCAGATATTGTTATACACAGTCACGAGTTGATTATTGGACAGGTCATTGGGTCATAGGGTCAACTCTCGGGGTGATCGCGGTGTTACACAGATGAAAAAAAAAGATCATGCGCTCGCGTAGTGTTTCATTAGAAATTCGACGATTTCGTCTCCGGCACCAGCACATTCCACAAAACGACGAGAATGACTCGCCCGTACCATGCCTAAGTCGATTAATTTTTAATATGGCCTATTTATAAAATACAATTTTATCATAATATGTAAGTATTCAGGTAACCGTGTGAAATGTTGTGAAAACACGAGGTTGACCGCAATAAGGTAGCACCGTTGGACAGCATAACTACTAGACAAGTTACAAGTTACTTTTTTTGATACATTTAACTTAACTAGTTTAACAGAATGTTAGAAAATAATTTAACAAACAATTTTAACTTAATTTAGTTATTTCGTTAAAATTTAAGTAATTTCTAAAAAAGTATTAAAGACATTTTTCGTAAATAAAAAAATATTATCTTTTCGAGGAAAATTACTATCATTATCATATAATAACAAGACGGACATGCGGCCTATGCAAGGATATGGAATACCCGCACGAGTCTTATATAAGTCTATAAACTAATCTGAACATTTGTAAGATAATACTTCGTTTGAATTTTAAAATTGACTTAACCTAGATCAGTTATTTTTTTGTTTTAGGATAATCTAACTTACTTAAACTGAATAAAAAAAATTGACCCAGCTTTGGGTGGTGGTATACAGCTACGGATAATAATAATAATTAAAGTTTGCATTTAGTACTATATGTGTATACTGTACTATTGAGCTTTTCCGGAATAATATACTACCGAAACAATCTAAACCGAGGAAAAGCTAACGAGTCAACAAATACAACCGACTTATAAGGTGGCGGTGAGAAATCGATTTCATGTAATAAATAGTATAAGTATGCGTGTGTGTGTGTGTGTGTTTCGCAAAATATCTGTTTACACACTATACATAACCACACACACACACACTCATACAATATATAAAAGTAATAATTCTCAAATAAAATGATTCACACGTATGGAATTAGATATACACATATAGAAAACTGCACGTAGCTATACCACCTAATGAAACGAAAATAAAGATAAATTACTCGAAAAAGCAACTCGAACGTTATAATATTGTAACAAGATACGCAGTATAGATACAAATCATAAGAAATAAGCTGATTAAACCATCTTTCACTGTATACATAAACTATAGTGTCATGATCTGGTAATGATCACCTCTTAATGTACAATGTTTTTAAGTGTCCAGTAGTTACATATATTAATAAACATATTGGCTTTGAAGTATTTTTACATAAATATATTAATACTAAACACTAATAAACTTTCCTATTTCTTACAGGCAGCTTATATACTAATATTTGTATGCCTTGTACTTTTTAGACTTGTTTCAAATTAAACTCATATACTTTAAATAAATATTATCTAAAATGTATACCATGTTGACTTATGTGGAACTTTATACGTAGGTAATACATTTTCTATCGACTTAAAACGTAATATAAACGTATACGTTTTATTTTACTACACCATATAAAAAATAATCTTATTACATTAATTATTGTTATTTATATTCCACACTGTTATAGGAAATATTTAATACGACGGTATTACTATATTGAGTACTCTGTTGAGTGAAAACGGTCACAAAACCGGCAAATGGGTAATTGAACTTTTAACGGGGAAACGTTTAAAATTAAACGTTTTACATTATTAACGACAACATTATACATTAATCGTACGATAATACAACGTTTTTTAACAGCGTAATATTGTGCCAAAAAAAATATTTTTATACACTATATAATATATATCTTCATCTCGTTCGCCTTAATTCCAACTATTTTTGGTTGATCAATATATATAAATATATACATGCAAACAAAAAATTAATTTATAAAAATAAAAAAAAAACCTACTGCGTAAAAATCAAACAAAATAGTTAGAAACAATATGAAATAAAAAAATAAAATATGATAGAAAACGAATTTGTAGACTGATACTTGAACGATAACCATACATCCATACGCAACCGGAGGTATTAAGTCCAGGACTGCGTTTTCTAGCATTATATTAACATTACCACAGTGTACATTGTATCACATTGAACAATAATAATAGTATACAACATAATATTTTTTTAGAGAGATCGTTAAAAGAATCGAAATGCTACAGAGAACAGGGATAACAGATGGCAGATTGATTTTGTGTTTAGCAGTGTGGTCTTAAGAGCAGGTGCGATTACAAACAAATATTTCGGAGGGGAAGGGTGTTTAACTTTCATACTCTTATAACAAAGAATTTTACATACTTTCAATCGTAGGTTTATTTATTTTTCATTAAAAATGTCAACATTCATTTTTAGCCTTTTATAAGTAACTAATATAAAATTTTACATTTAATATTTTTTTAGAGAATACAGCCTAAATGATAACGTAATTTATATTATTGTGATGATAATTCAGACTATGCAATATCGCCATATCAGTTATAATTTTCTAAAAGCAGGAAAACCACAAAAAATTAGAAATTACAATAATAACATCCTATCTAATAATAAAATAAGCCAAAATTGTATTTATCTTCCTCATTGAAAGAAACCACTTTAGAGACTCTAAATCTACTTTTATCATAATTTCCATAAAATTTCGGAGAAGGGGAACTCCTAAAGCCCCCTCTCTTGTACACGCACCTGCTTAAGAGTCTGTCAATAAGAAATAATAAGCATAATAGAAGAACAATATATTTTATTGCTGCTGGCGGCCGTTTAAAAAAAAAAAAACCACCAAGTTAGAGGTGAATAGGAAAGACGAACACAGATAAAAACCTGTAATTTAATATGTCGACAGGTTTGAACAAAACAACAAATAACAATAACTAGAAGAATTTAACGTTGTTTCGTTAATTTATTGTGTCGTTGCATAGCGGCGGGACCCATACCGTTATTTTGTCATACCGACAAAACACAGTCGACACGAATTTAAATTGTCTTCCATAATATTATTATCGCGATAACTTCAAACTTTTGTGCACGACAATAATAAATGTGCAGCGACCTTCCTACCGCTCGAAAATCGACCCTCTGAATTACTTTCGTTTCGCGAAATGAAAATAATATTAGAACAATGTATAAAAGGAGACGAGACGACACTACGGCAGCCGACTTAGCTGAAAACTTGCACGAAACGCGTATAAAAACTACGACATTTCGCACTGCGTTGTTTTTCACAATCCATCGCGGCGTATTGTGAAATAACAATATTGTACTGTTTTCGAGCGGAGATACATCTGCTCCGAAACTCAAGTCATATCGATTGCAGTCAGTAGATTTTCGTCGCTCTTTACACGACTACCGCGTACCTATTCATAATAATATATATCTACCTATCAGTGGTTTCTCTAGGGAGGAGGGCAAATGACCATGCCCCCCCCAAATTCCAAAAAAAAAATAATAATAATAAAATATAGAGAACAGGTAGTTATTCTATCTACTATATAATTGAGTTATATTAAACTCAATTAATATATAAATATATTAAATAAACTTATAAGCTCATATTATAAGCTTTTATTATTAAAATATATAATAACAGTTTAATCCGATTGAATATTCTCATCGTTACGTAGATACGTATCTTTTCGTGTACTACTCCAGTACGTATGTTGTTTTCCGATTAATTGTCCCAGTTCTCGGGATATTCTATTTCTAATTCTAATAGACTTTACTGCCGAATACAGAACTTTCTCCAATACTTGTAGCTGTACATCGTTTTATCACAGTGGTTTTATTCGAAGAAACGACCGACGGTCCTTTCCAAGCATTTCACTTAATAAACAAGCCATGTAAATAAAAATAAAACTAATAACAAAAATTGTAAACGCGCTGATTGTTTATCGTATCTATTTTAAGAAAACGAAATATTAGTTATTACTTATTCCAATACCTACCGATGAACAACATAAGTGACGGAAAATTGAGGCGAGCGTGATCGTTTTTGAGCACAATAAGAACCTTTGTATTGTTTCGTATAAAATTGTTCAATCTAGAAATTATGATTTAACGACAAACGGCCTATGATGAAACTTAAAGAATATTGAACTAAAAGCCACTTTTTATTTTTGAATACCTAGTTCGTATTTAAAATGTCGGAAAATCGATATTATCCCATATCCAAGACAGTGTTTTTAATTTTTTTATTTCCACAATAAGTATAAAAGTTCTAAAATCACTATTAAGGGGACTTTTTTTGTCCGGTTTACGCGCGTAAGGTTTTCAACGAATTTCACAATAACGTAATCAATACTTGTGACCTCAGGTACCCGACACCATTATTGAATTTGAAAATTATTATCGAGTCAATAAATTTTAATTTTTTTCAAAATTCCGTTAAAACTGCTACATACAATTGTATACGTAACCCCTTAAATATCGGTAATGCGAAGTTTTCGACGCAATTAATAACGTAGGTATATACCTACCTATACTTAAGGAACTTTAGTCCCTGTTATAACACAATGCCTATTTAAGTATCAAACGGTTTTATTATACGCACCGGTAATATAATATAGTTACGGTAATTATATATATATTGGAAAACTTATATTAAAAGTAAGTTTTTATTATACGAATAAATATTGTAAAATCGTTTTATTATATACTTTATTAAATCGCTTAAACGCATCCCGCGCACGACTTTGCGTAATAAATACCAACAAAAATTATTAGAACACAAAATATCATTCGCGAGGGCAAACCGTTCCAATAATGATTTGCCAACTTCCGATAAATATAACATTATTGACTTCCGTTCAAACGTATAAAACGGAAACGGTTAGTTTGAATACTCCGCGAACCTTTGTGGATCATTTAACCTAAACCGTCAACCGGCAAGGACCGATAAAAACAAAAAACACTAAACAGAGATCATACCCGGTAGGAGAATTGTCCGGAAACGGAGCAGCGGCGGCTGTTGCGGAGGAAGTAGAAACCGCTTTGACGGACGGGTCGGGGCTTTCGGACGCGCTGACGACTTCGTCTTCGGACCACTCTCTGGAAGGTTCGTTTGAGTCTGATTGTCTGAGCGTGTGTTCGGACATCCGGAGAGTGTTGACGTAGTCTGCCGACGAGTCGTCCACGGCTAACGTGGACCTGAGCTGTTCGCCGTAGTAAGCGCTGGACGCGTCGTCGTCGTCTTCGTCGTCGTCATCGTCGTCCCGGTACAACAGTTCGTTGCCGGGTGTCCCGGTGGTGCCACCACCACCACCGCCCACCACACCACCACTAACCCCACCGCCGCGGGCTTCCTCACTGCTGCCGCGGTAATGGTGCTGTTGTTGCTGCTGCCGGCGGTACTGCTGTTGCTGCTGCGAGAACGGCACTCCGCTGTTGTTGACGGTAAGCGGCGTCACTTCGGAACCCGTCTTGGCCCGGGAAGTTGAGCCACCCCCCGCCCCGCCCATGACCATACGTCGGACGATACGGCGCTTCATTTTCGGCTTACGGTTCCGGCCGGCGTAAATGCAGAAATAGGCGAGCGTCACGTACACGACGGACACGACGAAACACGGTATGGGAAACACCATCGAGTAGATGAGCTGTCTGATGCTCTTGGCCAGATCCAGCTCGGTGATGACCACCCACGGTTCCACGCGGCTGTAATAGCACGGATAGCTGGCGCCCACGTCGAAATACATGTTCTTGAACACGGAACAATTGAGGTGCGGCGGGTAACCACAACCCTTGACGTTCGGGTATATCCGAGCGTACGAGTATGCCCACGTGGCGGGCTCCGGTTCGATGGGCTGGAAGCCGCGAACCAGCAGAGACCTCCGGTGCCTGGCGTTTAAGTCTTTTGCCCGGTCCCCGTGCACCGTGTAATTAACCAGTATCTGAACGCACTCGTAAATTTCCCGGGTACAGCCCTCCCTGCACGACGCCCAACCACCCGGCTGCGAACAATTGGACGCGCCCTCGCGCACCTCCGAGAACGCAGTCACGCACGTGGTCGGCGTTTCGTCGAATTCCATGAATATTGTTGTGATAGCCGGTTCAATGAGGAACGGCACCAGGAACAGGAAGACGAACAGGCTGACTATGGCCAGTAGTATGAAGAAGGTGGTTAAATAGAATAGCACTTTCTCCCGGAGCTCTTCCTGTCGCTTTCTCTCCGCCTCTTTTTTCTCCTCATTTGTCGTCTCCTCGTCCGGCTCGTCATCCATCAGCTCATCTTAACGCGTAACGCACGTCCCGGCTAACCAGAACACGACGACCGCGCCCTATGAGGCGACAATGGCGCAAATTACGATTTTCCGCAAAATATTGTTAAAAGATTTCTTCATAGTTGTGTCTTTTCTGTTTCTTGTCTTTTTTTCCTTAATTTTATTTGTAATTGTTATCCGAGTAGTTTACAAAATTGTTGAGCACATATTTCACAAAAATTTAAAACTCAATGAATAAAACCCTCGTCGGACTATACTTAATGTTTCGTTCTTTATGCAAAATGCATTTTATTTACGTCCGCCTTCTTGACGACCGTAATCGAACAACACGGAGCGCACCACCGAAGTTTCGTTCATTCGGAAGATCCTGCAGCATTTCCCCGGCTGCCAGCGTGATTGCGTGTCGTCCTCGCTCACACGTCCTAAAAACGCATCATAATAACGCATTAAAACGCGCGCATATATACCGTAGCGCAGCAGTCTCGATTATTGCCTGAGCTTGCTTTTTTTTTTTTCTAGACCGCGCTTTCTCGATCAAACGGTGTATAGGCACAGAAGATAGGGCGGGGGAGAAGGGGCGGAGTGGGACCGTCACGGCGGACGGGGGAGAGGGATGGGGTTTGCGAGGTCGTAATAATATTTCGGGCACGTACATATTATCGCGTTGATTCGGCGCGATAGTGCGGCGGTGTACACGTAGAATTTGTTTAACGACTCCGCCGCGCTCCCGCTAATGAACTTACGTACATAAGCATGCACAGGCGGAGGGCCGAGCGCGTGTAAAAATGATAAAATGTCGCCCGTCGACGGGGCCCGCGCGCTCGCTGCACACACACGTGAATACAAAACGCTATGACGCGCGGGCTAATTTATATTTAGGGCGCGTTCCGCGTGAAAGCACTTTACGGCGAATTTCCGACGACAGACAACACGGTTTTTTTTTGGGGGGGGGGAACAGTCGACACCCGATCAATCGTTCTGGATATTGCACACGTATATATGAGTCCGGATGATAGGGGGCGACGTTCGCGTAAAGAGCCTGCGGTTGTCATCGTTTGAAATTATTGTACGTATCGAGTTTTTTTAAAATTTTTTTTGTATGTGTGTTCGCAATACAATATAATATTATCGATTAAAACGACTGTATTATTATATAACCTTTGAATACCGATTTTGAATTCTTCGAGTTCGCTTGTTGTTGTATTATTTTTTTTCAAAAATACGTTTAACTCGGCACAAAAACGGGCGAGACCAAGTCAGGATTATTGTTTTTTAATCTTGTATATTATGTCGAGTCGGGGGGCGAGTAAGGCGAGTGAGACGCTACCTCGTCTACTGCAGCCGTCCTATTACATATGACATACATTATAAGCTTATTATGAATGTGTCATCTTTCAAAATTGTAAAACAAATTTCATTCGAAACGTATACTATGTCGACTATTAATCAGTTTTAGAGAAATATATATATAAACTAAATGTTTTTAAATGCTCAAAATAATTAGACGAGTACTGATAAGTCGAAAATCATAAATCGTGTTTGTAGTATGACAATAATATTATGATTGAAATATAAAATCAACAAAGAACAGCTAACACCTCATAGTTTTCAGCTATTTCAAATAGTATGTAGGGTAGTATTCGTCTCTCCGCATACATTAACACCCTCTCCACTTGTAATTTTCAAAATATTCATCTCACCACATACAAAGTTCACGAACCGAGACTGTGTTAAGTGTACCTATATATTATATTATAGACATTTATGGGGTAAGTATACCCCATACGGTAAAACCGTAAATTTCAAATATTTTATTTAACGGCGTACAATCGCGATCAAACCTATAATATTATAACGGGTTTAAATATATTATAATATCATGTATAGGTATTATAGTTAACGAATTATTTGAAATCAAACGAATCACTTTGCTATAAATGCGAACGGCTGAAGGGGCCTATGTGTCGTACAAGGCGCGGGGATTTTACTAGCGGCTGAAGTTATCAACGAATTTTTTTTTTTTTTTTTTGATGTCGGTTTAAAGAATAGAAATTTAACTAGTTACGGCTGCGGGCCTCGGTTTCAGACTTCTATTTATCGCTGCGTATTTATACGGATGTTTGCGAATTGGTTCCCGTTTGGAAAAGGTATTTTGTAAAGGTCAGCCGAATTGGTTTCCGTTTAAATTTGTGATGTATCCACTACTGGTCGAATTGGTTCTCTGCACTGTTCGCAGTAAGATAGTCATTTCCTTTCCCGTTCTTATTGGCATAGGACGGTCGAATTAGAAATACTTATATTTTATGTCTTAATCAATCCGCGGTACTTTGGCAAAACGCCAATATAACAATATCTTAGTATGATAAAAGTTAAATTTTTTTTTTTTTTATTTTATGGTTAAAAATGTATGCACTATGCTAACCAGCTTGTTTATCTACTATTATAGAAAGTCTCTGGACCACTTTCGATTAAGTCTCTTTGAGTAGTATTACCCAGAAATGAGTTTAAGGATAGATCTGAAATAAGGGGATTAGAGTGATTGTGGAATCTTTTGTGGGATTTTTTTGTAGTGTTGTTTCGCTACTATTCTGGCCGAATAAATATTTCATAAAATAAGAGTTGAATAAAAGTTTTAAACGCACTATACGCCGTAATATACCTTCATTTTATCGCGGCAATAATTGTTTAAATGTAGTTAATAAACGGGGACCGCTTCGGTTATTTATACGTGACGCGTTTGTGGAAAACTGACGGTACACGTCAAGTCTCGGCGGAGACAAACTCGACTTTATACGGGTCGTAGGTAAATAGCCCCGTAAATTATAACGTTAGACGTGCGTCTCCGCTCGATTTCGGAGCGGGGTTTTTTCTCCGCTTCCCCCCCCTGCGCCTGCCCGCCCGCCATTGTATCATACACTGTCACGCCGCGTATTGTTTGCTCTACACTTTGCGAAACATCGCGCTAGTCGTCGTCATAACGCTCCTACATAACGCCGACCGTATTATACACGGCCGACAGTTCGAAACGGACAGAAGTTAAACATAATATTATTTTATACTATTGTTGCTTAAAAGTCCCGTGCCGCGGCGTCGGCGTTTCGCGTAGCCGCTGTCAATATAACGAGGTCTCGTGTTTACACGACGTTCCGGACACGCACGCCCGCGAACCGCGTTTCCGAATATCGTTATGTTATTATATACGCACATATTATTATAATAAACGATATATTATTATTGTTACACGCCGCGAATATACCGCGACTTGTTTGCGCCTACGCTCGTTATAATACAATATATTATATTATTATTATTATACAATATTCATGCGGTTTGTGTTTGTTTTCTGCGCGATAATATCGCGTACGTCGGCGTTCGAAAATCGATACCGAGTTTTCGCGGGGAAATACGACGCGTTTCGGGGTCTCCGGAGACGAGGAAAAAAAAAAAATTAAATTAAGAAAACAAAAAATACGGACTTACTTCGCACGTATGCGCAGCCACTGTTGTAGGCGGGAAGTTGGGAACATACATAGGATACAGACGAGAATTTATTGTGTGCCTGTAAGCGACGATGATGAACCACTGCTAACGAAAAAACTATTCTGAGCGGAGTTCAGTTGATAGTGTTACTTTGTCAACAATATATATACATGTCATATTATGGTAAAATGATTACAATAATGTGCAGGGTTTCCATGACAACAATGATTGTTTCAAACAGATTAAAATAATAAAAACTCAATAACAAAAAATAAATTTAAAAAAACGGTTGCCAATGACAACCTTATTTTTATTCTTTCACAATCTCGTTTAACTTAAAAAACCAGGTTTTGCTCGTTATCTCAAATATTAATGAGAATTTCAAAAAAAAAATAACCACTCTAAAGTACCACCTTTTTCTTTCAGAAAACGTGCTATACTCGATAATCGGAGTAAGTTTTCTGGTAGTAAAAGTATTCACATAAAAAAAAAAAAAAAAAATGGTAATAAACATCCACTGTAAAATCAATACATTCCTCGCTCCGTTCAGAACCTAAAAAGGGTGTTCTATTCGGAATCGGTCTGCATCCGACAGTCGAATTTTACGTTCGACGGTTACCGCGGGCACCGACACTGATGTGCAGTGACGCCAAGCGCAGCGATAATCGCACTAACCACTACAGGTACCACAGGTATACATCCGATAATATGAATACCGATACACTTTATTCGAAGAAACGTCGAGAATTTCCTCAAAAAAACACAAAAAACCGCCGTTTTAACGCAATTTATATTAAACTCGAGGCCGGATCAAGGGGGGGGATAGGGGGCTATATCCCCGGGCCGCAAGTTGAAGGGAGCCGCACATTGTGTATTTTTGTTAATGACCTCTTTTTTTGCCCGTTGGTTTTTAACCCCGGGCCCCTGTAATCCGGTCCCGATTGAACTCAATATCGCTCGTTTATCCGCATTTGACATCTACGATTATCGTATCCGAAACATTTTTTTTCGATACTATATGATTACCTTCATCGTAGGTATCGTTAGGTCGAGATATGATAACAGTACGCTTATTATTAACGGTTTTTAAAAAAAATTAGAATCGGTATTATAGTCCATTACTAAGGCGGTAGAGAAAACTGCGCACCCCGTTTTTCGCACGGGAGGTTTTTATTTTTTAAAATATCAGTACACGCATATTGTTCGCGTGAACACGGAGGAGACGAGTTAAAACGAAACACGATAGTATCGATATATAGGTATGAATTGCGTTAAAATCGATTTCGTCTAAAGACAATAGAATTATTATTATTATTATTATTATTATTATTATTATTATTACCGACACCACGCGCAATTAAGACCGTTTTCTTCGTTTGCTCAAATTTGCTCGGTTAATTGCAAGCGCCCGACAATTATTTCGCGTCCGATATCCCGGAAACGAGTAAAACACATACAATTTCTGTTCGCATTCGTGTGTACATTTTATATTATAATATGGGTATTTATAAGCGCGTCGCACGCTCGCGCGGGGTCACACCGTGGTAAATTGTGTTCTTTTTAATCAAAAAGAGATTAAACGAAATTACCCGGATCCGCTAAAACGTAATGTATGTACTGCAGGTACGTAACAAAAAAATAATTGATATTGCGCGACACTGTACATTTTTATACAAATTCCGTTCGTGACGAGGAATGTATTGGTTTTACAGTGATGTTTCCCCTCCCCCCCCCCCCCGTAAACAACTTTTATACCAGAAATTCCCGAAGTATCAATAGTGTAGCGGCTTCTCTGATAGGAAATTTTATCTATTCGGATACTCGAGGAGATTATATTTTGATTTTCCAGACGGTTTTCATAGAAAAAAAAAAAAACGGGGAATTACACGTAACGTATAATTTTCAAGTTTTTCTTTTCGTTATAATTCAGTTAGACACATTCGTAGGGACTTATTGTGATTTAAACAGAAAACTCATATTTGTCTTTTTTTAAAACATTTTCAAAACATTTTAGCCATTTCTGAGCTATTTATAGATATTTTGCGAGTTGTTTACGCAATTTTTATTTAGTAGATACTCTGCAGACGAAATTGTTATAATTAAACAGAAATGCCTGGACATTAACAGGAGGTTCATTTATAAGAATTTGAATATCAAATTTTGACCGAAATCGTAAATATTTACGAAAAACACGCGTACAACTGAACTTCGCTCCGAACCGTTTTTTCGTTAGCGATATTCATGCATCGTTACGTACAAATATAAACTAAATCGCCTTCCATATACTACCTTGCCGACTTCTCACCTACAGCAGTGACCCACCCGTCGTGCTAAGTATGGCAGTCTTCTTTTTTTTTTCTTTTTTTGTACCTATCGTAAAATTTGAACTTCCCTTCCCCTTTCCGGTTTACGATATTTGGCAAACAAAAGCTGTATCCGTATAATATTATAGGTGCATATATCATATCATATTATATTATGTATTCGAAACTGATTGGTTTTAAATTTTCATAACGCACAACGCAAACAATATATGCGTTCATACGGAAAGTCGTTTGACGCGCCTTTGTATGAAATTATATAAAACGCACATTAGCACATTGTTACCCCATTCTGCAACATTGTGTGTGTTATATAATACGTATAGTATTGTTATATTTTATTCGTTTATAAAGATCGGGGCAATTTGAAAAAAATAAAAAATGAAAAATTAATGACAATTTCGCGGTCATATTACCGCGAAATGTACGAAATGCAAGTCTATATATATATACGGTTACACAAAAATGTCAAAAGTAACCTCGACAGGAGTGCCTTACGGATATAGTGGCGGCTGATCGAGAAAGCGGCGGACGGTAAAACAAAATAAATACATAAAATACTATAATATATAGGTATTTATTATGCGGACGTAACATACCGGTGTTCGGAGCAGCGGCGACAGTGACGGCGTCGTCGTCGTCGTCGGTAACGTTGTTATTCTCGCGCGACGTGGTTGACGGCGGCGTAACACGGCGATGCGGCGCACGACGACGGCGGCGGCGGCAGCAGTTAACGTGCTACTGAGAGAGCTCCGCAGCAGTTCGTCGACGACGACCCGGGGGGGATTGATCGGGAGATGGGACGGAGCGACGTCGCCGGTACGCTCGGCGTTGAGCAGTGCGTACGCAGCCCCGAGCGGCGGGGGTCCGGGCGCCGTCTAGCGGTGTCCCGGCGGCCGCGGCGCGCGCGTCGTCCGTACCCGTACCGCAAACGAACAGGGCCGGGACGCGCCCGCGCACCGCGACACGCGTGCCGTAGGAATTACGGTGCAGCGGTGGATAACAATAATATATACGTATATGTATTGCACGTCACACGGAAGGGCAGGAAGAAAAGAACAAAAAAAAAAAAGACGTTCGCCGCCCGTGACCGCGTTACTACGACTACTATCTCGGCCGCTGCCGCCTCCGCCGACATCGGCAATGAAAACTTATCTATCCGTACCCGTGTTACAACACGGTATTAGTGTATAGTGTAATGAAATACCGTGCAATAATTATTATCGTTACAAGTCCGGTCAATTAGGAAGCGCCTACGAGTTACGAGACGCGAGAGATGACGGGGCGCCGAGCTACGCGTATATCGGTATTCTCGATTTGACTGCTCGCGTATTTATATAACAACAATATAAATGTATAATAAGTGATCGTGTTGTCATAGTCGTTTCACCGCCGCCGCCACCGCCGCCGCGGCACATTGACGGTCGGGAAGGAGGTCATGTAATGGGACACATTTTAGCCAATCGATAAGACTCGTCCCCATACAATATGTATACAAAATATATTGTAATGTTTATATATATATTATAATGTTATATGCTCATACATAAAAAGATACGCGTACAATACGTATACGCGACCGGTCGCCCGACGACGCGGTATAATAGGGGGGGGGGAGGGGCGAACGTGTTCAACGATTAGGGTCGTGGAGCCGGCATTGCGGGGGAGGCGAACCACGATGATTAGACGTAAATATTTTATGCCGCGCTTACGGGGCGGAGATAGAGTTTTGGCCGTAGATAACAACGGATGCACAGAGCGACTACAACGGAAAAGGAGAGTCGGCGCGGCGAGCGTACACATAATATTATAATAATATGGTTTTTGGCTTCTGCCGTATAATAATAATATATTTCTCGACCCGCGGAGAAAGGGGAAATCCCGAACATTAGACGGTCGTTTTTTATTCGCTGCACCCCCTCCCCTACCCCGCCCCTACCTCGTTATCGTCCCCCCCGAACGCCGTGTTGTTATTATACACGGGATCCCCGTGTATAAATTTCAATCCCGCCGGGGCCCCGGTCCCGCCGCCGCCGACACCCCGGGCACGCCGACCGACTCTGACAGCCCGCCGCCGTTTTAGATTTATACATAAACCGTTTTCGAATATTAATAATATAATATCGCCCATACGCGATATACAGGGTGTATTTACGAGATTCGACTATTTCCCCGGCGTTTGAACGGGGCGGTTCTCGAACCCTGCACATATGTAACCCCGTACATACGCGTAACACATTATACATATAGACACGTATTATTGTTACACACACGCGGTTTCGCGACAACGCGGCAAATATTATTTCCCGTAGATCCGCGTGTGCACATACAGTGTAATAATAATACTGAGAATGATAATGATAATATTTGTACAATATGCGCGTGTGTTGCGCGCGGCAATCGGAGGGGAGGGGCGGGGGTTGTGTGCCGGTGTGTGTATGTGTGTGTGTGTGTGTGTGTGACTGATATTGTAAGACATACCGCCGTCACAGCATAATATTATGGACTTTAAAGTCCGTCTCGCGCTTGAATACGAAGCGAAAATTCCGTATAGAAACCGTAGACATGTGTAGCGTGATGACACGATAACACACAATAACTAGTATATTAAGACTGCATAGTGATAAGACGTACAAGCGGGGGTCAGCAAGTCCGATGGGTAGTTCGATGGGTCGTGTATATTAAAATATAGGCAATCGTTAACGACATTTTTCGAACAAATAATTAAAACGGATCAATTCAAAGTGTGTCTATACTATTGCATAACCTAACCGTCGTAATTCGATCGGAACCGGAACAAAATAGTAGGTATCTACCATTCGAAGTGATATTATTGTAGATAAAAACCGTGGATCGTAACTAGGGGTGAACGTCGACATGAGCCGATATTGGCCAATGTCGGAAAATCGGTTGTCGGGGGTTTTTTTTTTTTTTCCAAACCGATATCGGATCCGCTATTTTTCGAAAAAATAAAAAGGTGCTCAGTTTAGTAAACACGTAACTAACTTCATATAACATGTTGTATATATATTATATAAATTATTTAAACTATTTAAATTATATCGGTGAATATCAGATATCGGATTTTTTTATAATATGAATATCGGCTCGTGGTTTCGAAAAAATATCGGAGTTTTGTGCCGGGATATTGGATATCGGAAACAAGCCATATATCGGCTTACCTACACTAAATATAACAATGTCTTCGTTTTACAACAATTATTCTCTACATAAACATTCACAATTTTGAATTGGTACGGAAACAACCATCCCCTCCCCTCCGCGTATTTTAAAGAACCGTCTTTTTTATTAACATTAATACTTCAAAAAAACCGACGCTGCCGACGTGATCTCATGATTATCGATTTCCGTTTATTCCGTAAAAAATAATATCTCTGGTTGTTTATCGTTTTAACGTTTTCGGATATTTAACGCGCGAGTACGGCGGCGATGCCAACTAAATCGCATAATCGAGTAGATATTATAACACCTATACAATAAATTCGATACCAAAGTTATCGTCCGGTGTACTAAAACTAATGTACGGTATAATATGTAACCACCGTGTATATATTATAGTGTCGCGGTAAACTGTTTTTAATATTAAACGAAACGCGTCAGGAACCGCGTTGAGTTGGCCAAAAAGTTTGCAGGAACCAAAACCTCAAGGGCTTACCACATCGAAAACTATGGATTCGTGTGCGTAATAAGCGGTTTTAATTCCGGGTCCGGAGACAAACGTCTTCGTGCCACTATAATACATTTTTATACATAGGTATTTCGGATGATAATACAATGTTGTAGCTTGGTGCGAGAAGGACCAATATCACATTTTGTGATTATTGGGAAATGGGCTTTGAAATGTTAATTCCCCACAAAGCCTGTGCGTTTTATTAAATGTAAATGCTTGTGTAATTTTCAATTTTCACAAAAACAATTTTTATTTAGAAAATAAAAAAAAATTATACACTTTTCCTTTAATTATTTCGAACAGATTTTTTTCAAAAAATTGACACGGTCCTACATGCACCAAGCCACAGAATGGACACCGACGTACAAATAGAGCCGATAGCTATCGTATCTAACAGATAATTAAAATAAATAACGCATAAAAAAAATGCAATTAATTATTCGTCTTATACGGTTCAAACTACAAAATGAATCTTAAAGAAAATATAAATCTCAAATAAATATGAAATTTGCGAATATTATATTAAACAGATACAATACGAGAGTCTGCATATACAAACTCTAATAGCTGCAAATAGTCGTAAATCTAAAACCCGAGAGAGCTAACTAAATTTCAACTTTTAAATTAATAAAACAATTAAATGTTTTAATGTATTTTTAATCTGCGAGTATTAAACAGCCGTAAATGCAATTTTAGAAAGCAACAATCAAATCGAAGAATAATATAAAATGTTTACAGTTATAATTCACACCTCATTAGTTTCTATTATGTTTGCGGACAGAAGTCAGACATTTTTCATATTTTTTTTTTTCTTTTATTTTACGCGACAATATTTTTCACGTAAAATTATTCCGAATCAATTTGAACAAAATATTTCAGACGTTAAATAAACCAAATCAATCGTTTGACATTTATCAATTTGGGTAAAAAATAAAAATATTTTTTTTTTTATCGAAATAGCTTTAAAAGTGATTAATGATGACTATATTATATTGATGACTTCGGCTACATCACATAATATTATATTGCTGTTTATTTTCATCAAAAAATCAATATTATGCCATTCTAAGAAAAACTGAACGACAATTTATTCGACTCACAATAATATACTTTTATTTTCTGAAAACACTTTAAAATAGTGTTTTCGAGTTTCAATCCTTTTAAATTTATAGTCAACCTAACCAGACATCTAAATCACCATACACAAAGTACTTTGGGTGTATCAAAGATGAACGTTTCTATTGTTTTCCATAGAAAGGCTAAAAAAAGAAGACCGTATAAATTATTGCAGTTTCGTATGTTAATGTTACTTGATTTATTTTTATATTTGAACACATTGTGTTTAAAGATTAGAAATTCGTATATAAAAGCTTTATCAAATATTAAACAACAATTTAAAAGCCGTAGGAACAAAAACAATATGTAAGCGGATTTGCGAAGGGAATCGTGAAAAAATAAAACCTTTATGGTTTAATCCAATCAGTGTGCTGCTCGATTTGAATTTATCTTTTAAAATATAGTTTATACTTGCAAATTGTCCAAACAAATAAAAAACTAATTTCTATAAAATACAACTAAAAAGATTGATATTTCTGATGGATATGCCACTGTGTTAGGAGGGAAGTTGAAGGCAGGATATATAAAGTGATTGCATATATATATATATGTACGCAATGATAAACCATTGCTAACGAAAAACGATTCTGAGCAGTGTATTTATTAGTCGTATTTTTTTTCCTTGCTTCTAAGGGTAATCAATACATCAACAACGTTTACAAAAAACATCAGTTTCCTTTGAGGAAAATGAGGAAAATTAAGTTATGACCTAAGTACACCAACTAGAGCGAAATTCTTCAATAATATCCCTAAAATGTTAAAGCAAGATTTCTGGTAAAAGAAAATTTGTTTACAGACATCAGAAAAAAAAACATATTATAGCAAAACCAATAACTTCACTCAGAATATAAATATAAAAATGTTTTTTCCAAACATGTATAAAAAAAGTTCATTAATTTTATTAATCAATAATATACAATTTAATTTTAC